AACATTTGTTGATGCTTTCCAACCTCTTCAATAAGTACTCGAATCTCAGGTGATGTCCACCGATTTGATAATTTATTAGTACTAATCGGTGTATCAGAAGTAGTAACAGGAGGGGTCGAAATAGGTTGTTCAACCGAAATAGCAGAGTTACTATAAATTGCCTATTTAAAAAAATTTAGATACATATGTACATACAATACATATATAGTATATATAATGATAATATTAAAAAAAAAAAAAAAAAATTACTTCTTGTTGCTGTAAGGCAACTTTCGCTAATGACTCCATGAATTGATTCTGTTGCTGTTGCAACAAAAAATTTAAATTGGTAAGGTCATTTAAAGGAGAAGCCGAAACCGAAGCCGAAGCAACTGAAGTTGAAGCTTCGACAGCTGGTTGAACTGGTTGAGAGGAAATTTTTTTATTGGATTTTTTAGGTTTCATAATGAAAATTACGAAAAACAGAAAAAGCATGCTCAAGCATTTAATTCTATAAATATTGCTATCAATTGTGATGCATGAGCGTCATCACGATCATTACGTGATCAATTGATTTAGATGCTTGAGAACACCTTTAAAATTTAGATTGGTCTGTCTGATGAAACTGGCAAATCAGATACTTTATTAAAGAGAACGCCCTAATTAAAAAAATTACATCCGATTTACTGAATGACATTTTAAATGCTGTTAATGGTTTTTTTTTCAAAAAAGAAATATTTATACGTAGAATAGATATGTTATACGTATAGTAAAATTGACACTGGAACATTTTCACTTAATGAGTGGCTGTAGTTTTATAATAGAACTTTTGTCTATATCAATATTTTTCACGCACTTTTTTTTAGATTATTTGGTCGATTATTGCGCCATCCATTTAGCACACATTCGCGTATGAATTAAAAAAAATAAAGATGCCGGTTTGTTTATTACTAGCTATATAGCAGAATAAAGTTTCATAGCCACATTGGTAATTTAAATTTAGAAATAATTGCAAAATTCTTTCGCCACGATCTTTTTATCAAGAAATAGAATTTGTAATTGTGAATGTCCATTACACTGCTTTACCGACTAGTGATGGACCTGTGGAGTTTTAGTCACCCGGGTGGGTCATCCGACGGGTGACCCGTGAATAAGACTTTACTAAACTTCTATATATTAATGACTTTTTTTGTTTAAAAAAAAAACCGTTCAAAACGGGTTTATATTAGACTAAGGGTGTTCTCAAGCACCCACTCAATGGATCGGAGGTAAATTTTTAAACGTTACCATTTCGATGAAAAACCAGTGAGATACAAACCATCTTTTTTTCTTTCAAAACTTACCATTGATAAAGGTCGCTCAAGAATTGCTTTTACATTTTTTACATAATAAACAATGAATTCTCAGTAAATTTCTACCAGATCAAAAAAAAACTCGTATTTTTTTTTCAATTTTAGAGACTTTTAAAACAAACTATATACCAAGGACATAACTATTATATATTTAGAAATATATATATATATATATGCGCAATAACAGGGAGTCTATTTTCACCTGGGTGGCTCATGAGTCCACCCGACGGGTTGCTTTTTTTAACCCACCCGGGTGGCTCATGGGTCCACCCGCGGGTGATCCGGGTGGCATTTTTTTCGACGGGTCCAACCGCTATTACCGATAATAATTAATTTATTCATACATGTGTTGTATGTTGAAGTATAATTTCACGTTTAATCGAACTAGATGAATCAACCTTAGGTTAATTCAGTAGATACTATACTATAAATTATACATATTAGAGTTAGACTGATAGGGTAGAATCCACTTTTCTGTTTGATAAAAAAAAACAGATAGCTTTTTCATACTATCACCTTTTATTAGCTTATATTAGGCCTGGCTCCAAGTTTACAGAAAAAATCACCGAAACTACCAGGGGAAACTTATCGCCTCTGTGAGTTGTAAATCATTACGGTATCCATGACCGTCAAAAAAATTAAATGGACTTTGGTGTGTTGGATAATCTGTAATCAACAACCATTTTATATGGTCGAAGATGAAGACCTCTAAATTCATTTATAACAATGTTTTCAAGGTATATTACAAAATCAAAAAAAAAAAATAGACTAATTTTTATTATTCATTAAAGGCATTAAATGATGGTATGTTGAAGTACGGTATTTTATGAACTAAAATTAAGAAATATTTTGGTTATTTGAGGGGATTCTTGAGCAAGAAAACCCCAGAGAATATTGATGACAAATAGCTTATTAGAATGGATTAAATATTGGTGTCGCTTAATATTACGGATTCGATTTCACTAAGGATTTTATTATCGCTACGGCATAATAAGTCACGACCTTTTTTGTGGTAATGATTTTATCATCTCTTGATATTCCATAGTATTTTTAGAATGATGGATTTTAATGTGATTTCCGGTGAAAATGTAGATAATACCGATATTATGACAACTCTTTGGGGTGAATCTAATTGGAAAATCAGTGGTAAGTTTATAGTAATTTTAAAACAGACTTATTCTTACTTTTTGCAATTCCCACGTTATCTATATTAAATGCAAACCACTTCCCCAAACAAAAACTCCTTTTCAATCTCAACAAAAGAGAGATATGCGCCGTCATCTTCGGTCCAAATGTTTGCTGTATTTGGTGAGAGAGAGTTAGATTCGATTACGACTAATGCAACTCCATCTGAAATAAAGGACTGGAAGTCTTCGCCAAAGACACAAGCTTGCTATGCTAAGCTTTTTTCGAAAATAGATCCTGATAACTCTCCAGATACGTATATAACAAGAATCCTTGATAAGGTGTGAATATTTTAAGAACCACCGCATATATTTCTCGAAAAAGTGAAAGCCCGTTTAATGATCTCTGCACGGGGCAATCTCCATTCGTTAAAAAGTTTCTGTCTCAGGGTGGGTGTGTTACAGCGAAGCCTTAAAATATGCATCTGACAAATATTTTAACAAATGCCTCTGTCAAATTATTAGCTTGTAAGTATAAGCTTTATTATATTAATTTACTAGATTAATTTTTAACATTTCGCATTACTTACTGGAATAATCCAATATTCAGTGGTTTGGGCATTGCAACAGATGTATCATTGTTTTGGTTTACGATAAATCAAAAAGCATCTCGCATACGTAAATTCGGGAACTTTAGTGTCCTCCTCTTTGGGAAGATCTTTATCTGAAACATTTATAGTTACTTGCTGAATATAATAACGGTTGTAAAATAATAACGGTTGTAAATAATAACGGTTATAAATAATGATGGTTGTATAATTATTCACTCTTTCATGTAAGAAAATACAGAAAACGAAAATTACTCATTTGATTCCATATAAGTAAATTTCTGTTATCACTCTTTAAGAAGTGCGTATTACACAATTTATTTAGGCTAAACTAAATAATTTCATGCCGGTTTCATATTATACACGAAAATATCTACATTTAAAGAGATAAAATTTTACAGTTCGTTTATATTCAGAGTTCACTATAAAGATTAATTATAGAATGTTCTCACGCGTTTTGTACATGCCGTGGCGCTTAGCTATTATTCAATTGACCAGTCAAAATGGTTTATAAGTATATATTTTGTAATAGTAATAGTTTAAAGGTTTTTTATTACTAAGCGGCTTTATTTATTAAGTGTTTACGATGGAAATTTCTAGATATTAATTATTAAAAACTAAAAACAATTATTGATAGAATTAGTGTTTTATAATTTTAAAATTAAATATTGCATTTATCGTTATAAAAATCAGTAATGACAACATTTCCATAAATGCACCCTGTCCGAAATACATCTAAATCATACATTTAAGTGCAGAAAAATAAGGACAATGCAAATGCATCAGTTAGGTATTTAATAATCTCACACGTGGATTTACATCGTCCCAACGTAGATTTCGCGAATATATGCTTTGTTCCAAAGACATGCACTTATGGTGTGACTGTATCGAAATTATATAACAGGGTGAAACCTGAGTTAGTAAAACTTCTACCTAGATCAGGTTAGAGTGTTTTTGATTACGTAAAGACAGATTCTAGTTCGCAACTCAGGTTTCTCCCAGTCGTGAAATCATTGTTAATGGCACATTTCGATTTATAAAAATATATTATTAATTTAACAATTCTCTGTTAATTAAAAAGTTCTCTAGAATCTGAAACTTGTACGTAAGTAGTTTAGCTATTGTTCTCAGTTTTTGGAGAAACTGTATCGTTATCACACTGCATATAGTCTAATAATTGTAATATACTCAGAAACTTCACCTTAATAAAGTACTCCCGGTTTATAATGTGTGTTAACACTTTTTACCAATAAGAAAGTACAAATTTCATGCTTAAATTGAAATTAATATAAAAGTAATAATTTATCTAACGTTCTAACTATAAATTTCTAGCTCTAAAATTTTAGTTTATTTTAATACTTGATTTTTATTACTCTAGGAAAATAAGTAAAGTCGTCACTGATCTTTCGGTACTTAAATTTGAGTTTTCATGGCAAAAATTTGATTAGGTTATCACGCATTTTTGGCAAACAAATTGATTTACTTCACCAGGCTGAGCTATTCTGAACAATCTTATTTGTAAAATTAAATGTTAGAATAGTTTTAAATTTCAATATACTAAAATATTTTATGGTCATTTTATTACATAATTTAAGAAAGGAAGAAAAAAATTGGTGGTATTAAACATAGTGTTGAACACGGACTCGGGTAGAACCCTAGAAGGGTATGATCTTGCAATAAAAAAAAAATTACGTACAGATGGCACGCCCACTACGATAACAGTTCATTTCTATAATAAAATAATATTATTGATGTCATTTTAATGTCACTGCCAATCTTTGAGTTAAAATAATAGGAGCTTGAGAGTTTCATCGAAAAACAATGCAATCAGAAAATGATAACGTTTCATCATGAGAAACTTTAAATATGTATTTAATAAATTCCTTTAAAAGCGTTTACTATCAAATATTATTCACGATCATTATTTTGAATTCTCTATGGAAAAAATCTCATACAACATTAATTCAACTACCACCGTCATATCTTCACAACATTTCATTCGTGAAGACCATAATTCTCAAAACGATGAAAAAATATCATCATTAGAACAAGGATTTGGACCAGTAAATTTTGATTCTGAAAAAAAAATTGAAACCGAACCAAATTATAAAGAAAAATGTGAAGTTCATCCTCAATCTATGACAGCCATTTCAGATTCAAACGAAAGTTACGCGACAGTGACGAATGATGATCCGAAAAATTGGCCATCGACGAAAAAATGGTGGATCTTATTTGTCGTTATTGTTTCAGGGATGCTGTCGCCTATTGCTAGCACGTGTGTACTTTTTTCTTTTTTTAATTTATTAAGGTTGTGACTCGACACCATTATAAGCAAAGTTGTAATTAACAAGTTATTCGTATGAAAAAAAAAAATTTTTAGGATTCTTTATCCGGCAATAATAACGTTACGTCAAGAATTAAATACCACCGAAATAGTTGTCAATTCATTAGGTAATAATACCAATCACTATATCAGATTACAGGATATAATAATATCTTGGGCCTTACGTGTACAGTTCACCCTCCATACAATCACACCACATACAGTCACACCCTCTTTATAAGCACACTAATTTTTAGAACTTATATAAAACATAAGAAATTTGACTTCTATGCAGGCACAATTTCTTAGAACCAAGGGCGTGACTATAGAGAGGTTGGGCTGTACAAAGTATTGAATCTAGCTGTCACAGATTGTCGACGAAAAAATAATTAGGCCAAAAAATTACACGAATTCGCTAACGCTAATGAATTGAAAAAAAAATATATTCTTGAGCAATTTTACCATAGAACAGACTAATCTAAAAAATTTCGAAGATCATTCAACCTAAAGGTTGGAAAAACCCCCGGTTTAAAACAAAGATATTTATCATGATCATTACGTTTTTAAACCGATGAAAAATGTACCATTCCTACCTAAAGGCAGGACAAGTGACAATCTTGTCGCGGCTGCTATATAGGTGATATTTTAGATCAATTGAAAATACATAATATGGTTTGAAAACGGCCCAAGATATTGTTAATATTTTACATTAATATGACAAATCTTTAACGATTTTTCATTTATGTTTTAAAAAAAAGTTTCAATGTTCATATATTGCATGGGAATTGCGGTAAGATTCCAAATTAAACTAATTTGATGTATTATTATTATTATTTCAGTTATATTTATTATTGACTATTAGTGACAGTAATGTTAATTTCATATTCTAGCCGATAGTATGGGCTGCATACTCTGATGAATTCGCAACAAGACGTAAAGTGTACTTAGCCTCCATTATGTTATTCATCGTCTCAACCACAATCTGTGCTGTTTCCAGAACCATTTGGTTATTGTTAATAATGCGTGCTATTCAAGCCTGTGGCTCTTCTGCTGTATTATCTATTGGCGCTGGAATTATAAGTGATATTTATATTTCAACTGGTAATCATTTCATTAAATTTATTTACACTGTAATATATATATAAATTTTTTAACTTTTAATTTTTTTTTAATAGAAAGAGGTCACGCATACGGTTTATTTTATTTAGCTTATTGGATTGGCCCATTTCTAGGTCCAATGTGTGGTGGTTACCTTACCGAATATTTTGGTTGGAGATGGATGTTTTGGTTCTTAGCTATATACGGTGGTATCGTATTTTTAATAATTCTATTTTTTTTACCCGAAACTTCTCGTACGGTTTCATCTCCAACCAGTACCTCTCCCGCAATTCGATTTAATCCATTTGCTCCATTAAAGTTATTACGTTATCCAAACGTAACTCTCGTAATAATATACGTAAGTATAATATCTTCTATAATTCAACTTCAATACATTAGCGTCCCTCGAAACTTTTCCCAACGATACAATCTATCTTCGTCGACTATTGGTCTATTATTTATTGCACCGGCCGCTGGTTGTGCATTTGGTAGTCTTTTAAGTGGGAAATATTCGGATTTTATTTTGCGTAAAAAGAAGGCTGAAAATGGTGACTTTAGTTATCCAGAAATGAGAATTCAAAGTGTTTGGGGTGGTGCATTTTTAGTTCCAAGCTCATACTTGGCTTATGGTTGGTTATTGGAAAACAATTTTAACGTGATAGTGTTGATGATATTGTGGTTTCTTGGTAAGCTCGGTAGTTTTTTTTTTGTGTTTTTTTTTTGTGTTCGCATTTAAAATTTACATGAACTTTTTTTTTTAAAAAAAAATCTTCTCAACTGACAAAGGTTCACTAGGAACATTGGTGGTTTTCAATTCAATGTCTATATATTTGGTAGATGCATGCCCAACACGTAGCGCTTCAGCAATCGCATTAAATAATTGTATTAGATTTATAGTAGCAGGAACTGTAGCAATTTTAGAACCATTGATGGAAGATGCTTTGGGTACAGGTGGGATGTTCACTTTTATGGTTTCTTTGGGCGTTATTAGTACTTTTTTTGTAGTAGCAGTTTATTTTAAAGGAAAAGAATGGAGAGAAAATATGACATCTAATTTAGAGGTGGGAAAGTTTTAAGGTAATAAATTATATAATAAATAATAATAAATCAAGCTTGATATTGCTATTATATTAGTAAATATATATAATAAAGAAATTTATATTTTGGTGCACCCCCTAGCAAATTCTTAAGTTAATATTAGTTGGAGTTAGGGTTAGAGTTAGGGTTAGGGTTTAGGTTAGTGTTAGGTAAAATTGCGAGAGGAGCATTTTTACTTAGTTACGTGACAGGGTTACCCTAGTAAAATTTTGAGATATAGCAAATTTTAAGTAAAGTTATAATTATAATTAGTTAGAGTTAGGGTTAGGGTTAGGGTTTAGGTTAGGGTTAGATAAAATTGTGTAATAATCATTTTTTATTAGTCGCACAACAGAGGTTACTCTAGTAAAATTTTGAGATATAGCTAGGGGTGCACCATGGTACAGGTGCACCATTTTTTAAAATTCTATAATAAATTATACATTATAATAAATAATAATAAATATTGTTATTATACAGTGTTAGTAAATATATATAATAAATCATATTAGGTAGCATATACTATATTCTCATTTAATATTAAAATTTTGGTTAGGGCGGTGTCATTTATCACCTGATTTTTTTTTATCAGAGGCTTACCCCCTAGTTTTTAATATATAAATTATCAGGTCTTACATATAAAATTTCATTTTTTTTAACCCCCCCTAGAAAATCACCTGATAATTGTCAGCTCCTTTATTACTCTAAAATGTAAATTCAAACAAAAATTAAATTTTACTGAGCTTTGAATTTTAATAAAAAGTAGGTACTATATAAGCATGTAATAATGCACAGAGACATGTTATTTTGAGCCTCTGCACATTATTTTGGGCACAATAATTTGAAACATTATACTAATTTTGGGAAAAAAATTTCAACTACTAAGAACTTTCATAATAAAACTAGAAAACGATACTTAGTTTTTTGAGTTAAGGCGAATAAAATTCTAGATATATTGTTAATCATATGGTAATAAATAGATTTCAGATTTATAAGTTGAATCTAAGCATATTATATTCAAATTTATTCAAAAATTCAAAATAGCACATAAAAGATAATCTAGCACATATTGAGGAATGCATTATTTTGAGACGCACATGGGTGTTATATATATATATATATATATAATAATAATAGGAAAATTATAATTAGCAACCCGTTACCATGGCGACCCCATATGATCAACCAATCACATTGAAGATTAGTCAATCATGTAAGAATACGCCGTTTTACCGGGTCGGCCTTTTGATCTTCGATCTGCTTTTTGCGTGTTCTTATTTCCCACCATGATACAAACCAAAAAAAGAAAATTTTTGTATGTAGATCGTAAAATCAGTGTAACATGAAATTTGTTGGTATTTTTCAAAAAATCACTAATAACTCTCCTCTTATGTTCTAACAAAAAAAAATTTTCTGCAAAATTTTAGTATATAATCTATTCCTAACTTTAAAGTTAAAGCAAATTTGCAGCAAATAGAATATTTGTGATTTCACGTGATTTATATCATAGTGAAAAATAAGTAAACCCATTCCCGGCTAGCCGATTTTATTTGTCATTATCACATATCAGTTATGTTGTACGTATGTACGTATATGTCGTGCCTCAGATCAATTCTTGCGTCAGATTAAAACCGGCCTAAGTTAGATTAGGGTTAGGGTAAGAATCTGGGAAGGATTTGGGCTTAATTTAAGTCAATCAATATCGATCAGTTAATGCGGGCCAAAAAGTTGACATCTGACGCAAGCATTAATCTGAGGCACAACATATATACCAGATCTTACGTATGCGTCTATCAGCTATATATCTACATATGTACATTTTTTTTTTATATATTTTAAATGTTCTTTTCATTTTTTTTCATTTAAAAGCTTTCTTCTAGTCCTTCAGCGTTTTCTGGTTGATTGTCTTGTTTCTTCCGGTTCTTTGGTGCTTGCTAGTGAATTGTCTTGTGGGATTTCTTCTGGTCTTTCAGTAAATGTCTTCATGGTTGTTTCTTTCCTGGTCCTTCGGTATTCTCTGGTAAATTGTCTGTGGTATTTCTTCAAGTCCTTCGGCATTTTCTGGTGAGTTGCCTTATGGTATTTCTTCTAGTCCTTCAGCGTTTTCTGGTGAATTGTCTTGTTTCTTCTGGTTCTTTGGCGTTTGCTAGTGAAATGTCTTGTGTGATTTCTTCTCTTTCGGTGAATTGTCTTCATTGTTGTTTCTTTGGGTAGTCTTGTACTACCCTTTTTTTCTTTTTTCTTTTAGGATTTATCCAGTGAATTTCTTGTGGTATTTCTCCCAGTTCTTTGGCATTCTCTGGTGAATTGCTTGTGGTATTTCTTCAAGTCCTTCAGCATTTTCTGGTGAGTTGCCTTATGGTATTTCTTCTGGTCCTTTAGCATTTTCTGGTGAATTGTCTTGTTTCTTCCAGTTCTTTAGCATTTCTGGTGAATTGCCTTGTGGGATTTCTTCTGGTCTTTTGGTGAATTGTCTTCATTGTTGTTTCTTTGGGTAGTCTTGTACTACCTTTTTTTTCTTTTTTTCTTTTAGAATTTATCCGGTGAATTTTCTTGTATTTCTCCTGGTCCTTTGGTGTTCTCTGGTGAATTGTCTGTGGTATTTCTTCAAGTTCTTCAGCATTTTCTGATGAGTTGCCTTATGGTATTTTTTCTGGTCTTTCGGCGTTTTCTGGTGAATTGTCTTGTTTCTTCTAGTTCTTTGGCGTTTCTGGTGAATTGCCTTGTGGGATTTTTTCTGGTCTTTCGGTGAATTGTCTTCATTGTTGCTTCTTTGGGTAGTCTAGTACTACCTTTTTTTTTCTTTTTTTCTTTTAGGATTTATCCGATGAATTTTCTTGTAGCATTTTTCCCGGTCCTTAGGCGTTGTCTGTAGTATTTCTTCAAGTCCTTCGGTATTTTCTAGTGAGTTGCCTTATAGTATTTCTTCTGGTCCTTCGGCATTTTCTGGTAAATTGTCTTGTTTCTTCTAGTTCTTTGGCGTTTCTAGTGAATTGTCTTGTGGGATTTCTTCTGGTCTTTCAGTGAATTGTCTTTATTGTTTTTCTTTGGGTAGTCTTGTACTACCCTTTTTTTCTTTTTTTCTTTTAGAATTTATCCGGTGAATTTTCTTGTATTTCTCCTGGCTCTTTGGCATTCTCTGGTGAATTGCCTCATGGTATTTTTTCTAGTCCTTCAGCATTTTCTGGCGAGTTGCTTTATGGTATTTTTTCTGGTTCTTCGGCATTTCCTGGTGAATTGTCTTGTTTCTTCTGGTTCTTTGGCATTTCTGGTGAATTGTTTTTGGAGCTTCTTTTGGTCCTTTAGCGTTTCTGGTGAATTGCCTTATGGCATTTCTTCGGTTTACTGATGAATTGTCTTGTGGTATTTTTTCTGGATCTTCGATGTTTTGTTGGTGAATTGTCTTGTGGTATTTCTTTTGGTTCACAATACAATTCTTCACCAAAATGCCGAAGGCACTTCTTATGGTGGTTGGTTTTTTTTTGCCAGGTTTGGTATTGGGTTGGAAAATAGTTTTTTTAGTAGTTTTTAGTAGTTTTTCTTAATAAATTGTATCAATTTTTTTTTATTTTTTTGTATAATTTTAAATTTAAAAATATTATTATTTTTTATATTATTGAATTTGATTGGTTGATCACTATTGGATCGGCTTTTTAGACCGGACTTCAGAATAAAAAATAAAAAATACATGTAATCGATTTTGATTGGTTGATCACGGAGTCGTCATAGCGACAGATTGCCATAAACTAATGCTCATAATAATAAATTATATATTTTTAAAGATATATTATATTATACTAGCATATAACCCATAGCTTTGCTTCGGAATTAAGAAGTAAGTATAGAGTTAATATATACTATAGTTGCTATAGTGGTTGTAGTAAGTAATTTATTTACACAGGTTTATACTCCAAGGCACGGAATTTAAACATGAACCCGTGAATGCCTCAAATTTAGAAATCAGGTTTTATATATAAAAAAAATCTTTTTTATAACCAGCCAATCAAATTATATTTTTGTCTTATAGTGTTTGTCTCATAGTATTTGTCTCATAGTGTTTATCTTACAGTGTTTATCGTTATAGTGTTTATCTACACTATACATGCCACCAAAATTGAATTTTTAAAAAAAGCCTATTTCGGGGTTTCAAAAATAAATTGAAATTTTTTATAAAGAAGTGTAAATAAAATTTATATATTTATATTCTTTATATTTTAGTCTATTCAAAAAAAGTATCAAAAAATTTTGGGTTTTAAGTAAAATAGGTTAAAAACAATTTCGGGAAAAATTTTTAATTTCGGGTTCTAAAACCCGAAATAATTTCAGCGGCATGTATAATCTACACTATTATATATTATATATTGATTTATATAAATTAGTTATTATACTATATACAATAAGACATAGTCTTTATTTTTAAAAATCAAAAAAGAAACTATTTTTTTGTCCTTAAGAAGTCAAATCTTTAATAAAGACACGATTTTGTTAATATAGTTATACTTTATTTAGTAGTTTTGGTCTCAGAATCTTGAAATTAATAAGTTAAAATTTGAGTTTTAATATTCCCAAAGATGCAATAAAAAGCTTATATGTTTACTATTTTTTTAAAGCAAATAAATAGGTTCTGTTTATTCGCTTGTAGTCTATATTTTAGATAGTTTATTGTATTATGCAATGCAATTAAATAATTGTCCTCTTTTATTAATATGTATTAATAAAAACCATCAATTCACTTTTAACAATTAAATAAGTTTTATATTTTATAAAGTGGTATATAGTAATTTATATGCGTTATTTGATTTTTAATTTACAAATTTGTTATAATCAATTTATAAACTACCTGGCTTTAGACGACCTCTATATACAAATATTAATATATACAGTATATATAATATATAATATATAAAATATATATAATAAGAGGTTTCAGACTTAAGGTTCAGGTTTCTGATTTCGAATTAAATTAGTGATGTATTAATTTTAAAATCAGAGATTTATA